ATATATTACAAGATTTTATACATGGTCTAGAGAGGCCGTTGCGACGAGATCGTCACGAGATCGCCAGAGGGCCCTTAAATTCGTAGGACCGGCTTATGCCGGCTTCGGCTCATCTATTTTGTGTAAAATGAGGCTACTGTAGCGTGAAGCCGTTTTGTAAGCTAGAGTTAAAATAAACTAGAAGCCAGAAAAAATCGTTTTTTTTGACTTCATCGGCGGCTTCACCAATAAATCCATTTTGAATGAGCCGTGTCAAATGGGGCTTTAGTATTTGGCTATGCTCTTGCTTGAGTCCGAAGATCCAAACATACCTCTTCTTTTTTTTCTTTGAGAGAACGGACTTGGTAAGTTCGTCTGATTCTATCTAAACCTGATATGTTTTTTTTTCTCCCCTAGAAAAGGCGGGGAACTGTTATAATCCCGTCTGAAAATTCGATTGTTTTCCAGGCGACGTTCTCAACCATCGAATAAAGATCCAACGTCTCAGCCTATCTATAGCCGTTGTTCATCTTCTTCCTCGGCACCTCTTTGAACCCGCGTCCTGCGTCCCGCCCACTCCCCCGCCCCAGCCACGGCGTGGCTGGGTCTCGGACGTGGAGCTCCGGCGAGACCTTACCGCGCCCGCAGCGGCCTCCCTCTCCCCTCATCTCTCCTGCCATCTCTTTCTTCTTCAACTCCAGCGAGAACGACCGTGAGCCCCACTACAAAGAGCGGGGCGGGGTGGTTGCCTGAATCTAAACCTGATGTGTTTTTCTTTTTCTTTTCTCTACAAAGAGCGCTGTCGCTGAGGTCCCACTACCATGATCACTACCAATCACAAAATACAACCAGGGAGCATCAGTATGGTGTCTCTTGCTCATATAAACATCACACAGAGCTGAAAATTGCAGCAGTTTCATTCTATCTAGCTCTCAAGAGTCAAGATTCAAAAACTGAAATGATGACAAACAACACATTTCCATTTTCTGAATCTTAATCATTACACTATTTGCACTCCCCTTGAATCTACTCTTATTCCTTCACATGATAAACACAGTTAATTACTCATGACCAATTCATTTCTCTGTACTAGTAATTTTTTTGAAACAAATTTCTCTGTACTAGTAATATATGTACACTTTTGCTGTTTTGCAACCGGACAGGTTGCCCCTTCCTTCCCAGCCTTTTCTACAGTTTTGTTAGGAAGTGGTTACTGTCTGACCTGAGTCAGGTATTACTTTATCATGTTGCTAGAGAGTGGACCTAGCGAACCACTGTATATGAGCTGACCGCCTCTTTTCATAAGCAGAAGCTGCAATTGGCCAAATTTAAAGATATGATTTGGTGTGGCCACGGCGCGGCCTCAGGGTGGCCACGTCGTCGGCTTTTCGTGGCCGTTCGATTGGCCGCGCGGACGGTTCAGATCGGGCGAACCGCGGTCGTTTTACGAAAAACCCCTTTAAGTTTTCGGAAATCAATCCACGCTCCAGACGTCCTCTCAGAAATTTTTACAAAAAACGCATCGTATTATTTCTAAATCAACGCTCAGTCCAGACCGGATGGGCATTGGTTTGTTTGCAAAAAAGACCTCCACTTTATCGAAAATCAACTCGCGCTCCCCAGACACTCTCACCGTTTTTTGCGAAAACATCCTCAGATTTTTCTCAAATCAAAATACAGCCCAATTTTGATTATATCTTTTTTTTCTCCAAAAAATACGTATGGCCAGTGGACCGCGCACATGGGCGCGCCCGAAAAACTAGTCTTACCATATGAATCCTGCCTCCAAAAGCTGGTCAGCCAGCGTGCCACGTCGCGTGCTTTTCCCAACCATTCGATCGGGCGAGCGGACGGTCCAGATCGAACAAGCCGTGGTCTTTAAAAAAAAAAAACCTCGAACTTTAGTCGAATCAACCCGCAGTCGAGGCCTCCTCTTCTGCTGCGCCGCGCATCTCCCTCCTGCTCGTCCCTCGCTCCTCCCTTCGCCTAAACTAACCCTAGCGGCGGCGCGAGCAGGAGCGCGAGGCGGCTACGTCAGCAGCAGCGCGCGCAGGCCGCGGTGGCGACGGCGCTCACGCAGGATCTCGCGAGGCGGCGACGCGAGGCACGACGGCGGGCAGCAGCACAAGGAGCAGCGCGGGCGACGGCGGCGGCGTGTGCGCTTGGCCGAGGTAGCCCGTAGATGAGCTCGGTAGAGGCGATGCCTGTCGACGACGGCGAATCCGTACACGACGACGCTCGGCCTCATGCCAGACCCGGTGGCTTGCTTGCATGATCTCCGCAGCAGGCAGCTCCGTGGTCGCCGACTCGCCGTCATGCACCATGGTCTCCGCCATCCACCACCCAGGGCTACCGCCAAAGCCGCGGCCCAGCACCCTCTCGTCTCCTTCCTCGGCGCGCTCCCCTCTCCATCTCGGCCTTGAGCACACTCTCGACGCCCAAGTTCCGGCCCCATGTCCTGTCCTGTGCAATACATGTGTTCGACAAAATGCCCAAAAGAGGCAACAACGCAAGCCAGTACTCCCGTCAGATGAAGACTGATGTAGCTGTAGGTCGCCTTGCCTATAAACAGTGTGGATGATGAAAGCAAGATACTTTAGATACAAACTCCAACTGCTACACGATGGATCATGGTAAGTACAATAAATTACTTATTCCCTGCTCGGCTGCTCTCCTTTTCATTTGTTTGTAATCATTATCAAATATCATGCCTAAGAGAATGCTCATACCAAAGTCATGAAGCTAGCAAAGGTTGTAATTAAGTGCCAAAAAAGACAGTGAGAGCATGCTTCACGTAAATTGTCGTATAGTACTGTATTTTAAAAATTTAACTGACATTTGCAACATCTATAAGTGAGATCATGACTCTGATGTACTCTTGTGATTCTGGTAGGTACTACATGGAATAATTTGAAATTGATATACAATATATTCGTTGATGCGCCAAAATTTTAAACCCAATTAGAAAGTTAGCAGTGCATATGTTTCTCTCTTCATATAAACTAGCCAACTAATTTTATGTGAAAGCATTTACATTTGAGGCTAGCAAACATTGGCTCACCAATCGATAAAACTATTACGTTAACTAAGCAGTCTTTTCTTTGGGGAATTGTAAAGCAGAGCAAACTTAAAACACACACTTTTAATCATGCAGTGTTTTCTATCTTTGTTCTTGCCAGTTCATAGCGTTTCAATATAAATTCAGTTACAAATTCAGTTTTGAGTCCTGCTATATATGGGTTCCGTAGCTAATAGGATCAGAGTTACAAGGCAACATGAAGTTAGTATTGATCCTACTAATTAGTATACTTTATCTAGCCTTTTCTTAACAATGAATAATATATTCGATACCTCCTCTGATCACAAGCTAAACATAGGTCAAGTCTCTTCTACAGATATCTGCATGATTCTCCTAAATATGTCAATTGATCCATGTATTCAATCTTTGATTAATATTATGCCATGTCTCCATTGTTGGTAAAGGTTACAGAAAGAAACATTTTTATATTTTTTATAATTTCTTTCATTTCAAAGATTACTACTCTGGAATAATTTAATGAAATCTACAACTTGATATAATCACGCTGCATGAATAATCCAAGCGGTACTTTACATTCAGGAGTCTTGCCTTCTTTTTCTGTATGTTTTTCATACAACCAGTGTTGTTCTTGGATTATCACATTACCTGCTGGATCTTGGGAGCATAGTTTCACTCGCCATCTTGCTCCAATTTATGGTTTGTACCACTATCAACTATGAGAGAATACTTTCCTGTGCTTTATAAAATGGCAAAACTTTACTTTGAGACCTCAGCACCTGATCTGCCATATTCTTTAAGCATTTTAAATTGAGCTTGCTGATGACGAGAGTATGTCTATTGTACCTGGTGTGGCTGGAGCAAATTACAAGGGCACGCTCATTAGTTGTGTGTCATGAATCATCTTAGAATTACCTATTCTAATAGTCTTTGCCTTAGACCATGAGACATGAAGACTCAGTTTGGTAATTGTTTTCAATCACCTCCAGTTATAATTTTATCTCCTCAATTTTGACTGAACAAAACATTTTCAACAGTGACAAAAGAGAAGTGGTAGATTATCCTGGAGACACTAAGATACAATGTGTTGATGCTTCCATACTCTTCGACAAGACAGGTAAATTTTAGCATACACGAAGACATGGAGTTGCTGCTGAAGAAACGACACAAGGTCGAACCCTTGCATCAGAGATCTTCCTGGCCACATTGGCTGCGTTGCCTTCAGCTTCAAATATACGTTTATTGTCTACTGAAAAACAACGTAGCCTATTAGAAATCTACTAGCTAGAACTGAATCCTGAAAAACATCACATATATCATACTGTGCATTTGTCCAAGGAGCATTGCCTTGCATACACTAGGACCATTGCAAGAGATGTCCACAGATAATCTTCTCCAAACTTCTCTGCCTTCAAATAATTTACAAGACTACTTGGACTACTTGCTTCTGATCTTGAAGCTTGTTTCCAGAATGAGTGATAACAAGGGGATTGAATTCAGAAATTCCTAGAGACATATAAGTAATATATATAGAGGGGCTAGTTGCCTACTGCAAGGGCGCGGCAAAGCCGCGCCTGTCTTTCTAGTTGAATTTGAAATTCAGAAGGGTAATTTCGTTGTAGTACCTATACCTACTTGTACAAATGACCAGTTTACCATGTACAGTAGTTCTTTGATTGTTTTCTACTTTAGGTCAGGACTGCATTTTACTACTATATGCATACTTCTCTATGCTTGTCCAATTTGTTTTGCTGTTTAAGTTTGTCAAGAATCATGTTTGTTTTAGTTGTGTAATTACCTTGACACCACTCCAGCACTGGATTATCATGTTTCCCTGTTCCTTGCTGTAGCTATATTTTTGTGTACCTATTTATACCATTTGAAATCACTCATACCTCATCAAAAGATTCAAATATCTCGATGCTTGGTTGATGAATTGTGCAGACAACAGTTCGTCCAGTGTCAACTGTCTTTCGTACTGTTCTCATGACAATAGCTGCAGCACGAGCATCCAAGCCGGTGGTTGTTCCATGAATATAATTGAGGGACTGACCACCAGCTCCACAGCTATTGTTAGTCTTTTCCGCTGCTCAGCTGACAGGCCAGTTGCTCCTGGGATGCCTACCATGGCATTCTTCAAGTCAGTGAGCTCAACAAGGCTCATGACTTCTTCGATGAACATCTGAAATGCGTTTGAAGAGAAATCTTGTGTCAGAAACTAGTTTCCAGGCCCCAGCAGGGATAAAGACGGGGTGAGGTTGAAACACAATACACATACGTCTCTTTGATGAGGTTTAACATTTGAAGGCAGACGAAGCCATGCAGAAAATTTCAGTGACTCATATACAGTGAGATTAGGGGAGTGAATGTCAGTCTGTTCACAGTAACCTGAGATCCTCGAGAATGTCTCCTGCTTCTTAGGGTAGCCTGCTATCTTAATAGTTCCCTCCATATATCCCCCAGTTTTTCTTCCAGCTAATACATCAAGCAATGTTGTCTTGCCAGCGCCAGTTATCCCCATCAGAGCTTGTGAGCACTGCTGGCCTAAAAGCACCACTGACATCTTGCAGCAGCTGAAGCTTTTTCTCCGTTACTCCATTTTTTGTCATCTCCTGGTGGGATATTTGCATTCTCTTCTTCAAAACGTGATGGAATCATTGAAGCTACCGGGTAAGATTTTAATACATGATCAAGATATTACCTTAGGCATGTCAACAAAATAGTTGATATGATCAAAGACAAGGGAGAGGGGTCGAAATGGGAGGATAACTTGATCATTTGACGACTTGCCATTTCCAGGCATCTTCCTGTGGTACACGAAATTCACTTCTGTGGTCTTGATGTTTGTGTGGAGCTGCAAGTTGTAAACATGGCTGAATTTTTTTCTTTCATATTTAATATTTAAAAGGTCTGTGAAAGATTGGTATACATACAGTTCATGAACTCCAATGCAAATATGCTGAAGATGTTGAAGACCAGCGAGTATCCAAATAAAATAGTGACACAAATCCAGTACCAGTGCCACTCCGTGAGCAGCCCTCTGATCTTGAGGATAGCTTCACCGACGGTGTTTGCATTGTTATAATAAAATTCCTATCAGTAACAAAAGATCAAGAACCTTAGTGTAATTAATTTGAAAAAGGATATACTACCATATAGCTAACACTTACAAGTGTTGAAATTAGTGCTTACTGTAGCCCATCTTTTGTCATGGAACTCATTGAGGGCGATTGCATTCTGTGCGTAGGTGAATGGGGACGTCCAATATCCCCAGCGCAACCATGGTTGGAGATCATCCGTTTCAGTGTACAGAATTTGTTAGCAACTTATGCCACGAATCCTTTATTATGGAGTAATGTCTCGCACCCATGCTTCTGGAGTATGGAGCTAAAATTATCTAACCTTTTGATATGACAAAGCCTCCAAGTATGTGGATTGCTACAAGTGCTGCATTCGCTAGCATGTTGGCCACCACTTGCGTCCTTCCTATACTGATAGGGGAAGGTGCATGGCAAACAGTACCAGAAAGTGCTGGATGAACCTGATAGGGGAAGGTGCATATCCATTCACGTAGTAGGTTAAGCCTGTCCAAAGGCCTGTCTCATCAAGTGATATTGGGGTGCTAAGAAGAAAAACTGAACAAAGTAGTCCCCATCCTGGCAGTGCTAGTAACTCTCTTTGTTTGTAGAAGGTGGGAAGCCGCTTTACTGTCATTGCAATTTCAGTTATGCCATTGTAGTTTACTATGACGAGAGCAATATAAAGTGCTCCCATGTACTTGTGGCATCACCTACAGAATCATCGCTCATTTTTGTTCTCAGGAAAAGTGTGGAGATCACCAAAGCCATAACAGTTTTCTGTATGATCTTGAATATATGGAACGGAGAGTTTCTTTTTACCAGCAGTACTTCCCTTGAAAAGCATGCCTTGAAAATATTCCATCTGGATATCCCACGACTTGCATTCACCTTTACCTCCTTGTTCTTTCCAGTATTGTTTGATCTGCACAGTTTGCCTTCTACTAGAAGAGGGAGATAAGACGTGTGGAAGGACTCTGCGAACTTTTCAACTGAATGGTATTGATACTTATTTTGATCACCAGCCCAGTATTGCTTTTGGTCCATCTTAGAGGTTACCTGGTTAGTGGTCAATTGGAGAAAACTTATTACATTATTTTGGACAAGTACGTGTATTTCAGAATACTGATATTTTGCGCTACTGTATGGATTTGTGAGTCATCTATTGCCTGCTTAATTTTATGGATATAATCTAATGGTTATCTCAAAGTTATTTTATACAGTAATTCCAAGGTATAATCATTTTTTATCAGTTAGCATTACTGTTGTATTTAGCTATTCGTCATATGTGCATTTGATGATTGAGTACCTCTTGAAGGAAATCTGCTACATTCTTTCTGTTGGGGCATTTGAATCCCATAGTTTCAAAGAAGTCCGTAGCATTTTCTCGGGGACCATGATACACAATTTGCCCCTCACATAAAAGTATAATGTCATTAAATAATTCAAATGTCTCGGGAGGTGGTTGCAGCAAGGAAATAACCATTGTGAGGTCCATCAAATGAGCCATCTGTTGGAGAAACTTCATGATCTCAAATGTCGTGGAATCTAGACCTGTTGATATATCATCCATAAAGAAGCATCTTGCCAGACCAACTAGCATCTCCCCTGCATTAAACAAAATCACTTTAATGTATACCAACATCGCCAGTTAAGTATCTCCTTGCTCTGTTCCCCATTCTAATATTCTGGTACTTACCATCTTACTTAATAATTATAAGCATTCTGTTTGAGCTATATTCATTCTTTGTTATCATGATGCTAGACCAGTTGGTCAAGCACTCCGGTTGGCACCCTCGTGGCCTGAGTTCGATCCCCCACAGAGGCGAATTTGTAGTGCAAAAAAAATCCCTTGTCTGCCCCGCGTCCCAAAGCACAGGTTTATAGGCACCGGCCCATTCACAAGGTTACGGGCCCCTGTGTGCGGATGGGGTACGGGGTTCGGAGGTTTTCTCGATCTGCGTGAGAGGTCTCTACCTTAAGCCGAAAATCTTGGCGGTTGTCTAGCCACCACGGGTCGAGTTTTTTTATTGAAGATTCCTGCCCTCCTAAGAACCTTTTGCATTCTTGAGGTTGCTTCCAGTGGCAACTATACAAATCCTCTAGCTATATATGTATTTTACCCTAAGTTCTGATAAGAAAGTGCAATGCTTACCGACTGTGGCTCTTTTCTTTTCCCCTCCTGATATTCCTCTTCTCATCTCATCTCCTACTAGGGTATCAGCACATTCAGACAAGCCAAGTATCTGCATACAATCAACTGTTACTATTGTATCATCAAGATATATAGCAAATCGAACAAGTAACCAAGTTACCTTGATAATATAATTTGTTGTGAGGTTGCTTCCTTCTCCAGAAGTGGTGGCCTGCAGAGAAGAGCTATTTGAGTAACTAAACGAGACATAATCCAGTCTTACGAAAACAAAGTAGTACAGAATAAGCTACCTTAATCAATGAATCAAGATCTTGGTCCACTTTATTGGTGACACCCTTTTTACTTCTTATTGCTGCTCCTAGCATCTCTGAGGTTGTCATTCCAAACAAACATAAACTTTGTGTCAGTATATATGCCATGAAAAAATTAACAATATTTTAAATATTCTATATATACTTCTTTCTCGAGTTGAAGTGTTGCATTGTTATGAATTGCATCACATTCCAAAGATCTTCAAAATCAACAGGTCATTATATGCAAGTGGATGTCTTACCAAATTCGTTATTGGTTCCGAGCATCTTGGAAGAGAAGTTGATCGTCTCTCTTACTGTCATCTCAGCATGGTGAAGATCATACTGGCTAACATACGCACACAGGTACTGCGGTGTTGATGAATTCATTTCTTCTCCATTGTACATGACCTTTCCTTTGAACTGTTAGGAATCATTAAGAAAACACAATTTTGTTACTCAATGATGAACGTTAATTTGTATTTTCCTTTTCTTGTTGAGAATAATACTTTTGAGAGAGACCTTGAGAAAATACCTTTTTAAAAAAAACCTTGAAAAAAAATACTTTTGGTAGCATGTAGGTTTTGACGATGAACACAAGTGCAGGTGACTAATGTGTGTGTGTTTATAGAGGTTCAATCACATTTGAGTTAGTCTTATTGCGGCCACATGAAGTTCTTGGCCATGAAGTTGATTGAAAGTATGGACGAGGCAAGAATATTTGCAAAGATCAAAGATAGTACAGGATTCAAGTGCAAGCTTGGTGTTCGGATGTACTTGACATAGTGTGTAGGTCTTTGATTTTTATCTTTGTCCGTACAATTAAGGGGAACAACTTACTCAGCTTAAGTTAGAGAGACTCATGTCACTGGCAAGTGGGCTGTCAGTGGGCGTGATTGCAATCAGGGCACTTGCCATATAGTGTTTATGTATTTATTTTTATCTTTGTTCATACAATTAAGGGGAGCCAGTTACTCTAACTTAAGTTAGAGAGACTTGTGTCACTGGCAGGTGGGCTTGATTGCAGTGACATGAGTCCCTCTAACCGAGACTTGTGTCATTGGCAGCTGGGTCTGATTGCAGTGACACGAATCCCTCTAACTTAAGTTATAGGAGAAGAATCACCCCTATTAAGAGGGGTCAAGACTAGTAACTTGATGACAGTTAAGTCGAGAGCATTAGGATACACACGTGTGGCATATTCTCACCAAGTTAGTGCAAAAGTGGTTCTATCGGATAGCCTTAAAGTTAGGGATCTCAAAAGAGTTGAATTAGACGAGATCAAACTTAAAACGTACTGGAAATATGTACCGGAGCATGCACCCCATGATTGGGACCCACCCAACAGATTATCCATTGGTACTATGCTCTATTCAATTTTGGCATGGCCACGGTGTTGAGTGGTCATCCTATGATCCGGTGTACTTGGGTGACACTCAGCGGATCATCGAGTGACCCTCGTTGGAGCACTTGGTGATGGTGTCCTCGACGGAGTGTTGAGCAGCCAAGACACTGATGAACTTGACTGTGTCAAAGAGGCCTTTGAAAAGGCCTTAATAGGATCATTAAAGTTCATTGCATGATCCGATGTGCTTGTGTAACCCTCGTTGGAGCACTTGGTGATGGTGTCCTCGACGGAGTGTTGAGCGGCCAAGACACTGATGAATGCTTGTGATCCTTTGGTGCCTGTGTGGCCCATGACATATCATCTAGCAAAGTATATTCAGGCATTAAATACTAGTCACTTTCTAACCCCTTTGAAAACTGGCCTTTTATATATGCTCGGTATGAAACCTGTTGATCCGGAGTTTAGAAGGGTTGATCTAGTTGACTCTTTGGTGCTTCAATGTGGATTTGAGGCTAGTGGTAATTACCTGAGACCACATAAAAAATCTAGTTGTCTTTTTGTCTTTCCTCTCGTTCTTGCATTTCCATTCTTATTTAGTACTAGGATTATTTCTCTATGCTAGAGTGTGTTTAGTCATAGGCTTTAGATTCTCCTCAACCAAAGACCTTATTTTACTGTCATCATGACTAAAGACATGTTTAGCTTGATTGCACTAAGAACTTGATTTAGTGATCTTTATATATAGTCCTAGGTCTTAACTGTACAAGGGGTGAGTTGTTTGTGCATATGTTAAGGTTTTTGCGTAAAGTTTTTAGAGCCAAATTCACCTCCCTCTTTTAAGCCATTCGGTCCTTTCAATAGCAACAACCTACCTTCAAAGAAGAATCCAGTTTTCCTGCCAATGCTTTGAAGAAAGTTGTCTTCCCTGAACCAGGTGCTCCTAGAAGAAGTGTCATCCTGATATAATGGGATACAGAATTCAATATCCCAATAAAGAATGTTGACTAAATAACAGACTATCAAAATCGGATGTGCATTTTCTTGATCAAGAACTTTGTTTTGAGATAGAGCAGGGTGTTAGGATCCATGTCATTACTATGGCTGCTAGCGAAAAATGACATACCTTGACGGTCGAATGATCCCGCTTACTTCATTTATGATTCTGATAGGTCGTTTCCTTGTAACACAGATATGAGCACAAGTTGCTAATTCCTGAAAACAAAATGAACTTTTCATTTAGAAATATTTCCCCCCAAATATGACCTACCAACTTTGCATTGCAAAACAAATGCATGCATCGCATACACTTGTATTTTGGCTTGCTAAAGTACACAGCATCATAACAAGCTGCAGTATTATTTCCGTTCTGGATTTAACTACATGTTCACTACAAACTGGGCTAAGATGGTCTGCAGATTCACCGATCCTGTCTCGATTAACTTTTTATTTGGTGGGTGTACTACATTTGACTACATAAGTACTGTTGCGATTTTATTGTGCTCATTCCGCCAGCTCCAGCAGATGTAAAAAAAAATGCTGCATAGTGCTGTGGCTTGTGCATAGTCCATGTATTCTTTTATTGTGCACTGTAATTTCTGAACTGTAGAAGCCTAGTTTTTGAAACACCATAGTCATTTATCTTACTGATGCTTAGGAGGTGGTACAAACCTGTGGCATGTTGAATGTTGATCCATAGGAGAAGGTAGTGTCAACTAAATTACACAACAAAGAAGCTCTCAGGTGGAAGGTTCGTGCACTCTAGTCTGGTCACTATAACACATTATGGTGATGTGCACAAGCCCCTGATGGGGGCTCTCCAAGGTGGAAGTATAAATAAAAAGGAGTTGACTTTAAGCAAATTTTTGGATGAGCACGGCAATTTCAATGGATTAGAGTTAGGGTGGAGATTGATGTATGATGACTTAAATCCTACTTTTACAAGGACTCAAGTATAAATAAAAAGGATGAGCACAGCGATTTCAAAGGATTAGACCTATTTGGACTTCTAATTTGGTTAGGACTTGAGTATAGAATTCTACTCCTGCTTGCATGCATGAGGGCTTTGGAGGAGACTATACAAACAATGGAATGAAGGGAATAAGCGTCAACCAAGCCAACAAAGTGTCTCGTCAAAGACTTGTAAGGAGCAATTAGAGCACTCAAGAGGATTAGGCTAGACATTTCTATTGCACTGATTCTTGTATAGGGCGATAAAAAGAGGATCCTAAAGGGTCAAGTAGGGTTGTGAGAGAGCAACAATTACTTGTAATCTTTGAAGTTGGACTCCCAAAGGGCAACTGTGCTCACTTTATTATTATGTCTGGTATTATTGCGCCACATATTGGAAGTTTTCACCAAGGTGAATCTGGTAGGATAACCACTTAGCTCAGTTAATAAAACTTAACTATGACATCACACTAACCGCTATATGTAGATATCATGCATCTGATTTTTAAGCTTGTGAATTTTATTTAATAACCTGTAACACAGTGAGATCAAGACCTGCAACTAAAAATTTAAAACTTGCTCAACTATATATCTATATTTATACACCTATGGTAGCTTGTTCGGCTGGCATTAATCGTACACTGTAGCAGCTGAAAAATACTGTAGCAGCTGATTTTTTGTGAGAGAAAAATACTGTTTTTGCTCGAAGAAAAAGCTGGCCAGCCAGCCGATTGTGCCCAGCCGATCCGAATTGGAGAATTTTCGTCCACCTTTAGTACTAATACTCCACGTACTTAGTAGCCACTCCACCGCTGTAAATTAGAGAATAAAGAAAGTCCCCGTGATCTTCTTGCGCTTGTAAGGTAATCCCAAAGATTTGTGCTAAGTGCTTGGGGTTTTCCGAAAGGGAAAGCTGCATGTAAGCTTGCTCTGTGAAAATAAATTAAGCTTTCCTGTTTTAATCCCTGCCTTCCTTTAAGCTCGTTTATATGGGGCGATGTCTCTATGCTATGGACCCTAGAGGAGAAACCTCTGTATGTGTTGTTCTCGTGTTAGCCCTGGTAGCGGCATTTGTAGAGAACCCTATGTGCGCAGAGAAGTGTTCCCTTCGGGTGGAACTGCCTGGGAAGACGATAAAGCCTGAGTCCTGTGTGTGCATGGCTAGGGATAGCGAGGGAGGAGACCGGGTTAGCCTGGTTCTAAAGCGAGCTAGTGATGCATACGGTGAGTACCGAGTAGGACTATTACAAGCATAGTTGCACGACCGGCTGAACTGTTGATCTCGCCAGCCTGCAAAAGATCCTGAGAAATATTAATCCATATATTTACTAATCGCACGCATAGCTAATCACTCACGCATCCTTCATCCATAAAGCAAAGTGCCCGAATAGTGAAGGGGTTGAGTGCCTGAGCCACTCCGGGTGAGTGCCCGTGCACTGTTCATATCCGAATTTGAATAGTAGCCGCGAATTTGAATAGTGAACGCTAAATTTGAATAGTAACTCAAAATTTTAAAATTTGAGTTTCGAATCCGTTCGAGTTCTCAGTTTATAGCCCCCGTAGTAACAGTGGTATTGGAGCCTGATTAGATTTAGAAGTTAATACAGAAAAGACAGTCAATACTAAAGAGAATATAAATATAAGGTGCAGACTAAATAGCTCTGAAGAACTTACTTGGCATACCTCTCACGGACAGATAAACTTAATAGTTGATTTGATACATGACTTTTACATATCTTGGAGAAAGAGGCAAGACGATCTAGAACTAAAATTTGACAGACTGCAAAAAGAACATAAGCACCTTGAAGAGCAATATTCAACTACTAATAATAAATTAGAATTGGCTTTACAGGTTCTAGAAGAGAGTAAAGTTTCTCTAGGAAGAATTAGCCAGAACAATGATTATATTAAAAAAGATATAACTTATCTATATAAGAAGTTTGATAATTGTTGAGCATAACAAAGAAATTGTGTTATCATCAGTAGGAATAGTTGAGTCTACCAGATCTTTAAATTCAGAAAGATGGAAGTATCTGAGAGCCTCTCTAGAAGAGACAAGTCACTCCAGCTAGTAAATAGAGACATAAGACCTCAAGGTTTTATAGATAAACTGAAGGAAGGATGTGATGATATTGAAACCTTAGAAGAATTGATAGACGTTGATAAAGATCTTGAAAGATATAAAAAAGATACTTTAAGAAAAATAAGGCCTCGACAGATATATCAAATAGGTTGGTTTGAAAATAAAAATAGATTATATAGAATATCTAGAGAAGTAGAATTAAGTGTATTGACAGAATCAGTTCTGCTCAGAATTATTAGTAAACAATTTGAGAATGCTTTAAAATATTCAGGGTATAAATATATACATCAAGGAATGTATATCATAGGAATTAAAGGAATGACAAGGAAGAAATTAGGAACAAAGGTGTTAATAACTTTATTAGACAAAAGATGGGATTCAATAAATAAAGCAGCATTAGGATTTTTAGAAGGTGATATGAATGAAAATATGTTAATAACATATATAGCTCTAGATTTAATAATACCAGTTAAAGAATTTATAGATAAGATGGCATTTGGATTTCAGACTAAAGGATATGAAGACTTTAAAGGAACAAATCTATTAGTAAGCATAGAATTTATAGAAAGGTTAACCAACAGAAGTGGAACCAAATATAAGGTAAATGTGAACAATGTTATAGAAAGTATGCAATCTAAAGGTATAAAATTTATGAGTCCTTTGAAAATAAGTTCTGAAGAAAGAGCATGAGAAGAATGGAATATAAGCTCGTTAATAAAACCAAAAATTTTAAAACAACCTAAAGATTACATAAGTTATGAAAATAATAGAGGGATGACTAGTATTAGGTTTGTAGATTATAAAGAATAAAGTTTAGATGATTTAGAAGCATCCAATTTAGAGGCAAAATTAGAAGAAAATAGAAGGCATAGCATATATGAATTTATGGAAAAATTAGATATAGATAATGAAATAAAACATTATGAGCAAAAGTTAAGCAAAATTCATGATGAATATAAAACCTCTATGATATGCTGATGGACGGCTATAAGAGAAAAGGAACTCTATTTTAGACGAGAGTTATATAGACTTAATAATACCAAGAAAGATAGAGAGTTAAATAATAAGAAATTGAGCATTCCAATAAAGAAAAAAGAATTTGTGTCAAAACAAATAGAAAATAGGGTAAGGGATGCCCAAAAAAAATTAGAATATAGCAAAGATAATGATATAAGCGAAGAAGAGTAATGCAAAAAAGAATTAGTTCAATATTAATATATATATATATATACAAGAAATATACTCCCTATGTTGATAAGGTGTTATCAACAATTTGACCGGGGGAAGATATTACATGCCAGAATCCTTAATTTGATGTTTGCAACATCAATCATCGAAAAGAAGTGGAAGACCATAATAAAGAATAAGGAGAAGGATAAGACCAACTATGCGATGGAGGCTTGGGTCGTAAAAGAAAAGAATATAGATATATCTGGACAATATAGCATGTGGGACAGAGAATTTGAAAAGAAGGTACAACTAGAATTATAGAAGTGAAGGTGAAGGAATAATTAAAGACTTCGTCTCGAAGGCTCCTTCAGACGATAAGCATGAAGGACACTCCATGCTTAAAGCGAGACGTCGGGCGCATTCATGAAGGCATCGAGGAACCGAGCATCGATACCGTAATAGGTGAAGACATTAGGATTTACTATTCATCATTGTCACTCAACACACAAGGTATAGCAAAGATATTTTAATGCACCATCTCTCCACTCACACATACACCATGAAGACCACGATCTCAGAAGTCCTCTGAGAATCGTCCACCTTTAGTACTAATACTCTACTTACTTAGTAGCCACTCCACCGCCGTAAATTAGAGAATAAAGGAAGTCCCCGTGATCTTCGTGCGCTCGTAAGGTAATCCCAAAGGTTGGTGCTAAGTGCATGGGGTTTTCCGAAAGGGAAAGCCGTATGTAAGCTTGCTCTGTGGAGATGAATTAAGCTTTCTTGTTTTAATCCATGCCTTCCTTTAAACTCGTTTATATAGGGCGATGTCTCTATGCTAGGGACCCTAGAGGAGAAACATCTGCGTGTGTTGTTCTCGTGTTAGTCCTGGTACCGGCGTTTGTAGAGAACCTTGTGTGCGTAGAGAAGTGTTCACTTTGGGTGGAACTGCCTGGGGAGACGATAGAGCCTGCGTCCTGTGTGTGCGTGGCTGGGGATAGCGAGGGAGAAGACCGGGTTAGCCTGGTTCTGAAGCGAGCTAGTGATGCATACGGTGAGTATCGAGTAGGACTGTCACAAGCATAGTCACACGACCGGCTGAAATATTGGTCTCGCTATCCTGCAAAAGATCCTGAGTAATATTAATCTGCATATTCACTAATCGCACGCATAAGCAATCACTCACGCAGCCTTCATCCATAAAGCGAAGGAAGTGCTCCGCATAGTGCCTGAATAGTGAAGGGGTTGAGTGCCTGAGCCACTCCCGGGTGAATGCCGGTGCACTGTTCATATTCCGAATTTGAATAGTAGCCGTGAATTTGAATAGTAAGCGCCGATATATATATATATATATATATATATATATATATATATATATATATATATATATATATATATATATATATATATATATATATATATATATGTGTGTGTGTGTGTGTGTGATGAGGATGCCAGTTGAGCCGGTGATGAGGAT